CGCCGGCTGGGCGCAGGGACCTGTCGGAGCCTTTGTCTGCGGCGCGCGCGGCCCCACTCTGAGCTCCGGCCGCCGAGCCGGCTCTGACCGCGGGATCCAGAGACGGGGCGCTCCACCCTAGGGACCCCGGGTCACCCCACCCCGCCCCACTCCCTGTCCTGGGAAGAGAGGCCTCCCACGCCCCACCCCCGCTTGTCGGGCACCCGGACCGGGCCAGACCCCATCAACCCATCTGCCAGCGCAGGACCCAGACCCAGAACCAGGGAAGGGGACAGGAGCTGCCTGGCCAAGGCCATGCTGGGCTTGGCGCCCGCCATCCCCAACAGCCTGAGGGTCTGTCCACCTGAAGTTCCTCTCTGGAGCCCCTGGCTCTTCCCTCCCCGCCCCAGCCAGTATCATCCTAGTTCCGGGGGAAACTGCTGGTGGCGGTGGGGCCTGTGCTCAGGGGTCACCTCCAGTGGCAGGAGCCGTCTGCCCTTTGCCTTGGGTGCAGGTCTGGCAACCAACTTTGTTGCTGATCCGCCTGGGGCCGAGGCGGTGGTGGCCGGGGTGCAGCAGGGCTTTGGGAACCGCAGGAACCAAGACCCTGGGAGGGGTGGGTCCCTCGGCCACCACCCTGCGCCTGGGCCCTTATGTTTTTCTGACCTCCAGGGGTGGCAGAGGGGGTACCCGAGGGTCATGAAACCCACCTTCCTGTGAGCAGAAACCAACTGGGAGAAGTTGGACAGCCGAGAATGCTGACCGGAAAGAGCCACAGAGCACTCATGGGGGGGCGAGGGAGAGTAAGCGCAGGGGCCAGGGCCACCCAGCGCATCCAGCAGGCCAGGAGTTGTGGCCACGGGTAGTGCCAGGCCTGAGGAGGGCTGCAGTCTGACTTTTAAATAGACTTCAGGGTCCCTGCCCACCCTGGCTGGAGTAGAAGCCTGAGGTGGAGATGGAGCACCCCCTGGAGAGAGGTCCACCTGGCCTTGGGAACCAGCACCTCCATAATTCTAGGGGAGCACATAGAGCCACTGTCTACTCAGTCGAAGGTGAAATGGGGGAGCCATAGGTAGCCAGTGGCAGGGACTCCGACAGGAGCTGCATCACCCCCGGACTTGTCCTCTCTGCCTCAGTTGCCTTTCTGAAAAGTGGAGACATGAGCCCTACTTTCGGGACTGCTGAGTGGGGTGCACCCCAGGGCTGCCCAGAGTGGTGCCCAAAGTGGTGGTGGTGTGTGCGATGTTGAGCTATGCTGTGTGCTACCTGCCCTTCCAGGTTAACCTCCCTCCCTCCCCTGACCCTCCATCCCACTTGTGAAGTTCTCTCCTGTCTGCTGGAGGGAGGTGAGGAAGCTGAAGCCCCGAGGCTGGCCTTGAGGCAGGGACTGGTAGCTGGCGGCCAGAGGAGCGTCCTGCGTCTCCTCAGCTGCTCCCAGAGTGGGCACGAGGGCCCGGCAGAATGAGGGAACAGGGACTGCAGGGCACAAGTAGGATTTTTAACCCACGTGCATGTTCTTGCAGTTTAATTAAAGGGGGTTCAGCCCAGGAGGCAGACAAAGCCTCTTCATCGTGCTGTCAGTTCCTGTCTAGGGGCTTTGGGCCAGAGGCTACCCCGGCCGGAGGGGCACATGGGGACAGCGGCTGAGGGTAGCACTGCGGGTCGCAGCCGCCTGCCTCATGACTCAGCCAGAGGGAGCCATGGAGCCAGGCTCTAGGCCAGGCTGGCCTGCGCCCCGCGGCTCGGGAACCTTTGCCGAACACCAGCCAGGGGGTTGGGGTACAGGCGTCCTGGCTGGGCTGTCCTGAGCAGATTGGAGGGAGGAGTGTTACTGGCCTGAATCCCTCCAGGCCACAGGCCCTGTCCCCAGGGAAGGGTGGCGTCCCCCAGCCTACGCACAGCCAGTTGTTCAAGCCAGGTCCTTACTCCCGGTCAGTCCAGCTCCAGAGGTGGCTGGAGGGCCGGGGCTGGGGCTCTCAGGCAGCGCCCGGAGGGGTGACACTGCTCCCCAGCCCTGCCCCTCCTCACCACGCCTGGGAGCCTGTCCTGGGGTCTCCCCAGCGGGCAGGGCAGGATGTCCCCAGCTCCCAGGACAAGCTGGATGCTGGGGAGCCTCTCTATGAAGAGCTATAAAAGGGGGCGCCGTGCCAGGAGGAGTAACCCCATGACTACTCCACACAGCCCTCTGGTGAGGGGTGAGCTGAAGCAGGAGAGCGGAAGGCAGTGAGCTTCAGAGGCGCGTGTCCTTTATTGTAATCAGATAAATGAATAAAGGTCATTAGACAAACAACTGCTGAATGTTTTAGGGGGAAACACTAGACCCTCCCCTCACACACACAAGTCACCTTCAGACTGGAGGTGTCTTTCCGTCACACCTTCCTTCCCCCAATGATAGGGCTAGTGGATTTGACCTGAAGCAGGAGAAACTAAGGCAAGACAGAAGGAAGAACTTCCTGCCACTAAAGGTGGTTGGCTGCTGAATGAAGGGCCATGGTGGCTTAGTGTCCACTGGCTGCGTTTGGTCTGGGCTGCCCTGGCCCGTACTGCCTGTGAGCCCAGCACGGCAGCGGTGGGTGTTCACTTCTAACCCTCCCTTTCCTGGGCTGTAAAATGAATGACCATGGACACCCCCAGGGCTGTGGAGAGCGGGCCAGTGTGAGTGCTGGTGCTGTGTCCGTGTGCTGTCTGTTGCGATTGCTCAAGTCCTTGCCTCCCACCTCTGGAATATTTCTCTGCTCCATTTGCACCTCTCCCAGCCCCTTGCCACCGCCCTCAGGCAGCCCTCCACCCTTGCTCCTCACTGCTCCGGACACAAACCATGCGCTCCACACGGCTGGCCAGTCTTCTCCTGTTTCCAAGTGGTGAAGTGGACAGAGCAGGTGGCCCCCTAGGGTTGCAGTGTTGGGGGTCCCCTCCTTCTGCCTCCTCAGCCTGCTTCCTGCCTTTTCTCCACAGCACAGGCTACCATGGGCACTGTGGGAAGCCAGCGCCTCAAGGAGCCCCACATGGCGGAGACACCCGACAGGAGCGTGGTGATGAGCTTCAGCTTTGACAGTGGTCAGCTGGAGGAGGTGGCAGCAGGGGCCGCTCAGGGCCAGGGCTGTAGGGTCAGGGGCATCCCAGTTTTCACAGACGCTGGTAAGTGAGGGTGCAGGCAAAGTGTATCTCCCCCAAAGCAGAGACTGGCTGTGGGTGCCCCCGGGTGCCCGTGGGGAGGGACAAGCATGGGCCACCGAGCATAGCATAGGCTGCCCACGCTTCGGATGGATTAGAGCTGCCTCTGAGCACAGCCCACTTTCTCAGGGCCCACACCCTGAGGCCTAGTGACCCAGTCGGGGAGCCAGGTGAGGAGGTTCCAGGTGAAGGGCACAGGCCAGTCATGCTCTGTCCCTTGTGTGACACGTGTCACTTAGGTCACTCCCCCTGGCCACAGTCAGTCATGTGGCAATGGCTGTGCTGCTGTGGCCATAGGAATGGATGATGGCCATGTGGCAGGGCAATGAGGAGTCTAACTTGACGGCACTGGTGACTGCAGCTACCTGAATCAAGTTTCAGCCAGAGGAACAGCCAGGAGAGAGATAGTAGATTGACAGAGATAGATACACAGTTGTAGGTATGATCTAGATATATGTGTGTAAGCGGATTTATGGCAGAAAATTGTCTTACTCTAGTAGAGGCTGGAGTCCTTGAAGCAGACAGGAAGGAAAGAAGGAAGAGGCAGCCAGGCTAGAACCTCTAGGCCTGAGCTATGGAGGGTGTCTGTGCTCTGGGGAGCACAAGTCAGCCTCACCTGGTTAGGTCAGGCCCACCCAGGGCCATTTCTCTTTTGATTAACTTAAAGTCAACTAAGCAGGGACTTGACTCTGCCAAACCCCTTCTCAGCAGCACCTGGGTCCATTTGAATATCTGGACACTGTCACACAACCTGCTAAATTGACCTACAAATTTGACCATCACAGTCCACCCCTTATCAACATGACTGTCACACAAGCTCCTTAAGCCACACTTGACCTTCAGATAAAGACACTCCGGGGCTGAGATGGGTAATCCCTTTATGGCCAGTCACACCTCAGCCGTGCTGATCACACCTCTCCTGATACCTGTAGCCTAAATCCTGAGGTGTAAAGTCAGCTATTATAAGCACATCTTCTGATGGATAATGAGGGAATGAGCAAGTGAGTAAAACAGAATAGTTGAGCATATGCACACACATACTCATATCAGAATAAGGAAGAAATACCCATAGCAGCTCATGCTCTCTGTGGCTGGGTGTAGCTGGCATTCGCACACTGTCCTTGGCGCTCTCGTGGCCGTCTGTAAACCCTTCAGCCCTGGCTCCTCAGCAGGTCCTGCAGCCTGGTAGTCCTGCGGGTTTGCATGGCTTCGGCTGTCCATTGACAGTGTGTGTGAGTCCTGAGAGGTGTACAGCGGCCCCCTGTACCCCAGACACGCCTCTTCCACGAGGGGTAGCAACCAAGTCTATCAGCACAGCCAGCACAGCAGCCTCTTCTCGGCTGACGCAGGCATGGGGCACGCAAGTGGCTCTCAGCTCCCAGCTTCTCAGGGTGGATGCTTCCTTCCTGTGGAGCTATGGTCCTGCATCGTCAGGCAGGGAGAGACAGACGTGTCACACTGGTGGGTCCCGAAGGCTCCCCGTGAGTTCCCCGACCCCGTGCTGTGGTGCTGGTATACACGTACCCACCACAGGGGGTCAGCCCCTGTGCTGAACGCTGATGTGTCCAGAGGTCTCAGCCCCACGAGGCCTTGCCACCCAGCTGGCTCTGTAGCTGAGCCTTCAGAGGCCATTCCAGCAGCCTAGCGGCCATCAGTCAGTGGCCAAATCAAGAAGAGGTGGTCTGGCCACACCGTGGAATACCCTTCGGCCTTGAGGAAAGAGAAACGTGGCCTCCTTGCAGTAAAACAGGGGCTTGAAGGAATTAACAAAATAATCAGAATGACAAAAACCATTTCTATGTACTTGTTTGATAAAGTAAAATACAGAAACAGTGGGCCTCAGGAAGCGCTGTGAGGATGGGGGAAGGGGTGAGGTTACAGATGTCAAGCCCCTGCCTGGGTGGCCATGAGGTGGTATTCAGTGACCGTGGTGTCTGGGTGGCGGGCCAGGGCCTTGGTGTCTGCAGCAGCTGTGACTGCAATGACTGGGGCATCCGTGGCCGTGGTGATAGTGGCTGTGATGCAGGCTGACCACGGCTTGAGTCTGCAGGTGAAAGCAGTGGCTGTGACAGTGACGATGATCAGCATGATGCAGTGGGTGGCCACCCTCTGTGGGGGTGGATAGACACGGTGATGCTCATGATGTGGCGGCAGCAGTTATGGGACACAAGAAAGTGGCTTTGGTGGCGGTAGCCATGAAGTCTGGCCACTTTTGATTAAATCCTGGTCCTAGTGGCAGAGGCATCTGTGGCTGTTGTGAACAGAGATCACAGTCATGATGGATTTGGTGGCAGTGGCCACAGTGAGCAGGGGCGTGGGAGGGTAGGCTGCCGTGACTGTGGTCTGGGTGGCAGTGGCCACGCTGGTGGACACTGGCAGCCCGTGGCTGGGTGGTGCCACAGCCCTGGTTCCATGGCCTGGCCCGGGCTTGCCCACGTCTCACCTGTGTCTGGCTGCAGCGGCCGAGGAGCCGGTGCCCGACGACCGCTACCACGCCATCTACTTCGCGATGCTGCTGGCGGGCGTGGGGTTCCTGCTGCCCTACAACAGCTTCATCACCGATGTGGACTACCTGCACCACAAGTACCCAGGTGGGTCCCCTCGGCCACCCCTGCCCTCACAGGCTGCCCCACTGCCCCCAGATACAGCCACAGCAAGACCTGACTCGGGAACTGTTGCATTCAAGTCCTGGCTCAGTGCAACTCAGGGGCAGCTGCCGACCCGTCCTGGCCGGCAGCCGCCTAGGCAGAGCCAGGAGGCAGCGCCCGACCAGAGGGGCGCCTGGCTGGGGCGCCCCGCTGAGCGGCTGCTGGCCCCCTCCGCGGCAGGGACCTCGATCGTGTTCGACATGAGCCTCACCTACATCTTGGTGGCGCTGGCGGCTGTGCTCCTGAACAACGCGCTGGTGGAGAGACTGAGCCTGCACACCAGGATCACGGCGGGTAGGCACCGCACCCAGCGCGCCTCCCCTCGCCCCCACAGTGGGCACACCTGCTCGGAAGCCCAGGAGGCCGGCGTGCCCGCTGCACACCAAAACCCACCGCCGGGGGCCGCGTGCCCGCGCAGCCGCCCGGGCCAGGCTCCTCCCCCAGCCCCGCGTGCTCTGCATGGCCCAGGCCGCTCCGTGGCCTCGCCAGCCTCGGCCTGCCCACGCGGCCCCCCAGGAGGCCTTCTGGCGTCCCTTGCGAGCCTTGGAAGCGTCCCCGTGTTAAGGGACAGGGTGGGGACAGACCTCGGACCCAGGGTCGGAGGAGCCCTCAGACCGCCCCTCATACCCGCCGCCTCTCCCCCAGGCTACCTCTTAGCCTTGGGGCCCCTCCTCTTCATCAGCGTCTGCGATGTGTGGCTGCAGCTCTTCTCTCGAGACCAGGCTTACGCCATCAACCTGGCTGCCGTGGGCACCGTGGCCTTCGGCTGCACAGGTAGGGACGGGGCAGGGTTGGGGGTTGGGCTGCCCATGCCCCCAGCCCCGCTTCTGCTGAAGGCGTCTTACGTAGGGTGAGCTGGTCTCAGCGCTGGCACGTACCAACGAGCGTGCTGAACGCGCTTGCCCCTCAACCCCGCGAGCTGCTGTGGGCATCCGGCACATGCCGCCCCGCACCAGCCCGGCTGTGCATTGTCCAGCAGCCGAGGCCGCCCTCTGTGACCCTGTCACGGTGAGAGCAGGAGCGCCCTCGACGCGCGACTGACCCCTGCGCTGCTGTCTTGACAGCAGCCTCTGGAGCACTCTCCTTCGGCCCCAGGTCCGCCCAGGCCGCGCCGAGGTAGCCGTCCCGTCGTCAGTGTCTTCTGACCTGGGATGGCCCCGGCGTGACACTGGAAAGGCCCAGGCCCATTGCTTCGGCCACGGCTTCCAGGAAGAAATATTCGTATGTGTGACCCAAAACCCATGTGTGTGCTTAGAAATAAAGCCAAGGCTCCACGCAGGGATACTCTCCAGCTAGACAGTGAATTCAGGTCTGTTCTGTTCTATTAAAATCAAAAATACAAATGCTGGCAGGGCAAGACTCCCGGGACGCCCCGGGGTCCACGCAGGCCCTCGCCGTCGGCCCAGCCGGTCACTTCTGCATCTCCACGGGTGGCAGCCAGGCCGGGCGCCCCGGCTCGCCTGTTGCCACCGTGCCTGCAAGGCGATGCACCCCCGCCACCAGCAGTGTTAGGGTCCCCGCACCCCCACCTACAGGACACTCGACCCTGCTGCCAGGCAGTAAGCGTGTCTCATGGTCGCGCCCTGTTTTCTCTCTCTCTCTCTCTCAAGTGCAGCAATCCAGCTTCTATGGGTACACGGGGATGCTGCCCAAGAGGTACACTCAGGGGGTGATGACTGGAGAGAGTGAGTATCTGCACACCCCCAAGATGGGCGCGGGCGCCCCTGCGTCTAGAAGCCTCTTCCTGGAGAAAGGCCCCAGCTGTGGGACCCACATGCAGGCAGGCTCCTGGGCTCTGGGCACGCTGGCTGGGACACTGGGGGTGGGCGGGCAGGAGGGGCTGGCAGTGCTGGCAGCAGGTGTGCGGAGCGCGGCCCTTCTGGTGCGGGGCGCTGGCGGTGGGCCTGGCGCGCCCGGGCGTGGTGCTGGCTGTGTGCAGCGTGGGCACGTGAGTAGGCGGGCAGGGGGCCGCACTCAGGAGCGGGGCCCCGTGTGAGCACCGGACTCTGGGCGAGCCCCGGGCCCACGAGGCGCCCTCTGCCGCCCAGGCGCAGCTTCTGGCGCCCCCCCAAGCCCGCCTCGCCTGCCCCCGCCGGCCCTGGCCCCCACCCGGGCCTTTGGGCTTGCCCCCGGTGCGGGCTTCCAGCCGCCTCCTGCCCTCCCTGCCACCGCCCTGCGCAGGGCAGCACCACCCTTGGGCCTGCCGCCCACATCAGGGGTCCCCATGCTTCCTTCCCTGCCTGGACTAGGCCTGGGCGCGGCCTGCGTGGCTCTGCTCCCCACTTCTCCCTCTTTGGGGTATTTGACGCCATCTACACTTCAGTGAAGTTGACCAGGCACCCCAGGAACTCTACGCCTCACGCCGGGGGGCCTGGCTCCCGAAAGGCTCTAGCTGGCCATTACTTCCGCCGCTGGCATATTTTTTTCATGGAGACGAGGGAGATTGGACCAGAATGATGCCAACACTCATGGTCTGTGAACCAGGGCGCCAAGAGGGTCTGCTCAGAGCCCAGCCCACCCGAGGGTGGCTCACGGTGGCCGTGACTCACCCCCACCCAGTGGCTCAGGGTCACACTCAGACACACCCCCACCTGCCTCGACCCCGGCCCTCCCCCTCCCCTGTGACCTCTCACCCCACTCATAGGGTTCTGCTCACTTCCTTTCAGTTGTACACAGGGCTCCTCAGACATGAGTGCACAGGGGTGCCCGCTGCCCCTCCCCTAGACCCTGCCCCCCCACACCTGCACACCTGCAGGAACCCTGAGATTAGAGCGCCTTCACCCCTCGCCTGCACCACTCACAGCTGGCGTGTTTCTGGGACTGGTGTGTGGAGGCGGTGCAGGGGCCCTGGGGAGCCCAGTGCTGGCCCGGGCCCAGGCCGCTCCCTGCCCCCAGGCACTGCCGGCGTGATGATCTCGCTGAGCCGCATCCTCACCAAGCTGCTGCTGCCCGACGAGCGCGCCAGCACGCTCATCTTCTTCCTGGTGTCCGTGGGCCTGGAGCTGCTGTGCTTCCTGCTGCACCTGGTGGTGCGGCGCAGCCGCTTCGTTCGTTACCACACGGCGAGGCCCCGAGACCGCCAGGGCCGCCGGGCCGGCTACCGAGTGCACCACGACGTCGCTGCCGGGGACGTCCACTTTGTAAGTCCACGATGCCCCGGGCACGGTGCCACCAAGTCTCCCAGCTGTGGCCACCCTGCGCCGCAGTGTCACGCTCTCCATCCTTCTGTTATCTGAGCCCCCGCCTGGCGGTGACCGCCCGCCGCGGTCACCTGCAGGCCCTGCGCGGCCCGCGGCCGTCCTGGGAGCTGGAGCGCCCTCTGGTGGCGGCAGGGCGCTCCGCGAGGGGCCGTGGAGGCCAGAGCGTGGCCGCGGGGCAGCGCAGGGCGGGGCGGGGCCAGAGGGGTGGACACCCTGCCCAAGGGGCAGGGACCCCTCGGCGTCCCTGTCAGTGAAAGGGGGCCGGCGTGATCCCACAGAGGCGGGGGAGGGCCCGCGGCGGCGGCGCCTGGTCTCCAGCCAAGCCTCATCCCGGTCTGTCCCGCCGCCAGGAGCACCACGGCTCCAGCCTGGCCAACGGCGGGTCCCCGAAGGACAGCCCAGCGCACGAGGTGGCCAGTGGCGGCGGCCGGGCCTACACGCGTTTCGACGTGCCGACGCCGAGAGTCAAACGGAGCTGGCCCTCCTTTCGAGGTGGGCGGGCGGGCGGCCCCGCCACCCCACGGGGCCCGTTCTGGCTGCGCTCGTGGGTGGGTTCAGGGTCCCCTGGGACGCTGACCGCCGCCCGCCGCCCACAGCCCTGCTGCTGCACCGCTACGTGGTGGCGCGCGTCATCTGGGCCGACATGCTGTCCATCGCGGTGACCTACTTCATCACGCTGTGCCTGTTCCCGGGTCTGGAGTCCGAGATCCGCCACTGCGTGCTTGGCGAGTGGCTGCCCATCCTCATCATGGCCGTGTTCAACCTCTCGGACTTCGTGGGCAAGGTGGGCCCCCCTGCCCCCGCTCCCCCTCACCCAGGGCCTAGAGGGAGGTGATGCCCACCGCCTGCAATGCCCCCCACCCTCCCGCCAGCCCCAGCCCCCTCCGGGAGCTGCAGAGAGCAGAGCACGTTTGGAGCTGAGCATGGTGCCGCTCCCGGGCCGGGAGGGTGGCGGGGAGGGTGCACCCGGCGGCTCTGGTGTGTCAGCTGTGTGCCTGAGATAAGCTTCTCTTCCACCTGGGACAGGTGCTGCCGCAGGAACCTCCCCCTCCCCCCAGGAGGTGGAGTCACCCAGAAATGTCTCATAGGGGTCTGCAGGACCCTGTGGGCTCAGGGCAGGTTGGGGGTGAGGGTTGGCGAAGCATCCAAGTTACCCTTTCTGGGACTGGCCTGACATGGCCACCTTTCAGGGAATGCCAAGTGCAGGGCTCAGAGAAGGGAAGTCGTTTGTCTGAGGTCACACAGCCGAGCTGTGCGTCTGCTTAGTGGGTTCAGATCCTAGTCTGGCTACTTCCTGCTGTCCGCTGTGTGGTTGGGCCTGACCCTCTGGCCTCGGAGTCTCCAGGAGGGTCAGGGACCCCCCTCCCCACCCCCACTGTGGAGGAGACCTGGGGGTTGCTGGAGAGCACGTGAAGTGTAGAGGGTCTGGGCACACGGAGTGGCCTGTGTGTTAACGGTGAGGGTCTGGGGAGGAGAGTCCAGGGACAGCCTGAGGGGAGCCCTTGGGCGGGTGTGGGAGGCCGCAGTGGAGAAGTGAGGGGCGCTGTGGGGAAGCAAGGCTCACATGCCTGGCCCCCCGCAGATCCTGGCGGCCCTGCCCGTGGACTGGCGGGGCACCCACCTGCTGGCCTGCTCCTGCCTGCGCGTGGTCTTCATCCCCCTCTTCATCCTCTGCGTCTACCCGAGCGGCACGCCTGCCCTCCGCCACCCGGCCTGGCCCTGTGTCTTCTCCCTGCTCATGGGCATCAGCAATGGCTACTTCGGCAGTGTGCCCATGATCCTGGCGGCGGGCAAAGTGAGCCCCAAGCAGCGGGAGCTGGCAGGTAAGGCTCCATGCGGCCAGCGCCTCGCTCGCCCTGGGGACATCTTGGGTCGCCGCCCGGCAAGCTGACCCCTTCAAGACTGTCAGTGCCCCGCTGCCAGGCCCACCTGGCGAGAAGGCAGGTCCGGGTCCCAGGACAAGTGGACGCAAGCTCAGGGGCTGCGGGCGGGGCCGGGCTTCCCGTCACTGGGCCTCCGCTCACCCGCGTGCTGGTCTCAGCACCGGGACCCTGAGGTAGTCAGTACTCCCTCTGCTTCTGGGGCTGACAGTCAGAACTCACGGGCCGTAGCAAAAGATGTGGCATGTGGCCACGGGGAAAGGAGATGGGCCGTCTGGGTGCAGAGCAGCCAGGAAGGCCTCCGAGAGGCAGCGACTTTGGAGCAGAGCCCGGAGAAGCAGTGAGGGAGAGGAAACAGCTCTGCACAGAGGCAGAGCATGAGCAAAAGCCCTGGGGCAGGAGCTGGGGGGCAGGAGGGACGCTGAGGGGAGGGTCACAGGATGAGACTGTTAAGGCCACCTCTGGCTGGGCGCCGGCAGCCCGGGAGAGTGCAGCTGGAAGGCACCAGAGCCTGCCTCTGTGGACGGTGCCACGGGACCAGCAGGCAGACTAGGAGACGAGGTGCTCTGGTGCGAGGAAAGGAGGGGGCCGAGGGTGTCCCAGCGTGTGGGCCGCTGCTCAGGTGAGCGGGGTGGACTGCTGTCGACCGAGAGGGGGGCGCGCAGGAGAGGAGAGGGGCCGATACTCCACACAGCGGGGTCAGGGAGCCTGTCAGACATCGAGTTACTGCACGAGGAAGCAGTTGGCGGTGGGTGACTGGAAGCAAGCAGGCAAGGCCTGGGTGACCGGTGGGTCCACTGTCCTCAGACTCCCTTTCCACCCCTTCACCAAGTGGCGGCCGGGCGCGTCGGCCTGGAGCCGGCTGCCCGGTCCTCCAGGACCGCTCGCTGCCCGGCTCTCACTAGCTCCGGCCCCATCTCGTCCGCAGGGAACACCATGACCGTGTCCTACATGACGGGGCTGACGCTGGGCTCTGCTGTGGCTTACTTCACCTACAGCCTCACCCGGGAGGCCCACCACAGCTGCTTCCACACCTCCGCCAATGCTTCCTTCCCCGGCGGGCTCTGAGCCAGGTGTGGCCCGGCCCTGCCCAGGAGGGGCCCGGTGGCCGGAGGCCCCTTCCCACCCCTGACTGCAGTGCCTGTAGGGGCCCGGCCTCCTCCCAGTGGCCCGGCTCTGGGCCCAGCCGCCCGTCACTCGAGTCCCAGGGTCCCGCGAAGTTCCCGGAGGCCTGGATGGACCTGTCGCCACGGCCAGGGTCCCGCCAGCACTGTGCTCTGCATCTCGTCCCCCCCACCCCCACCCTCCATCTGTGTCTGGGGGCCCAGCTCTAGCCAGGCCAGAGCTCTGTGGGGGCCGCTCACAGCCCTTCCCACCTAGCAGAGCACTCCTGGTAGCCCCCACCCCAGGTCTGCCGGAGGGCCACATGGCCCTCCTCACATGGCTCCTATCAGGGTGCGACCTCACCCAGCCCCCCTTCACCGGGGGCTCATGAACCCGAGTCCTCAGTTCTCCCCACTCCAGTTCTTAAACTTCTTCCGCTCCCCCATCTGCCTGACTCAGCAAGACGACAGTCTGGGATCCCGGCGCCCTCGCCGTCTCGCTGACGTCAGCACTTGGCCTCAGCCGTGGTCTCCGACCAGCGAGGCCCAAGGAAAGCCATGAGTCCTTGCCAAGCCGAGGTTCCCACCCCGACTGGACCCGCCAGAGCTCCAGGCTGGCCTGGCACCACGCCAGGGAGGTTCCGGAGCAGCCTGTCACAGGGCGCCTCTGGAGGATGCGGCCGGCACACTGGGCCACCCACAGCACAGCTGTGGCCACGCGCCCCCTGTGCCTGCCCACCGTTGTCCACTAACTGTACCGCACTGGCCATTAAAAAGATGCAGAGAAACTGCCCCACTGTGGCCTCCACGGAGTGTCTGGGTGGGCTGCCTGGCCCGTGGGAGGGGGTCGGGGTCCCGGCCCACCCACATAGCTGGGGCCTCACCTCATACTCCCCAGCTGGGCAGTGTCCCTGCCTGCACCCAGCCCGCAGTTCCTAGGGGGTGGGCAGGGATAGACAGGTAGCAGGAGGGCCCCCCACATGCAGCAGGCCCCGGATGAGGGTGTGTGAGGGGTGGGGCTGGAAGCATTTGGGATCTAAGTGGCGGCCTGGTGCCATTGTGGCTCTCAGGACAGTCAGAAGAATGACTCCATCCTGCCCATTTGAAGCAGGAGAAAACAAAAGGCA